AAAATAAAAAACAAGCCACAGACCAGGAGAAAATTCTTACAAATCACATATCTGATAAAAGCCTCATATTTACAATAAAGTTCAACAATAAGAAAATAAAGAAGAAAGTTTTAAAAAATGGGAAAAGATGTGAACACTTAACCAAAAAAGATATATAGATGATAAATAAGCATATAAGAAGATGCTCACCATCATCTGTCATTAGTGAAATACAAAATAAAACAAGATACCACCGCATACCTATTTTACAAAAAAAACCAAACCCATTGCCGTTGAGTCGAGTCCAACTCACAGTGACCCTATCCGACAGAGTAGAACTGTCCCATAGGGTTTCCAAGGAGCAACTGGTGGATTCAAACTGCTCACCTTTTGGTTAGCAGCTGAGCTCTTAACCACTTCGCCACCAGGGCTCCACATACCTATTAGACTGTCCAAAATACAAAAAATTTTTAAAAACTCACAATAGTAAGTGCTGGTAAGAATGCAGAGCAACTGGAACTCTCATTCATTTTGCATTCAGAAAGCAAAACCGAAGACAATTTGGCAGTTTCTTATAAGATTAAACACAAATTTATCATATTATTGAGCAACTGTATTCCTAGCTATTTACCCAACTGAACTGAAAAATTATACACACAGAAAATCTGTACACAAATGTTTGTTGTTGTTGTTTGGTGCCATCAAGTCAGTTCCGACTCATAGCGACCCTATATACAACAAAACAAAACACTGCCCAGCCACCCTCACAACCGTTATGCTTGAGCCCACTGTTGCAGCCACTGTGTCAATCCATCTCGTTGACAGTCTACCTCTTCTTCACTGACTCTCTACTTTACCAAGCATGATGTCTTTCTCCAGGGACTGATCCCTCCTGATAACATGTCCAAAGTATGTGAGATGTAGTCTCGCCATCCTCCCTTCTAAGGAGCATTCTGGCTGTACTTCTTTCAAGGTAGATTTGTTCCTTCTTCTGGCAGTCCATGGTACATTCAATACTTTTTGCCAACACCACAATTCAAAGGTGTCAATTCTTCTTCAGTCTTCCTTATTCATTGTCTAGCTTTCCCATGCCTATGAGGTGATTGAAAATACCATGGGTTGGGTCAGGCACGTCTTGGTCTTTAAAGTGACATTTTTGCTTTTTAATACCTGAAAGAGGTCTTTTGTAGTAGATTTGCTGAACGCAATACGTGGCTTGATTTCTTCACTGCTGCTTCCATGGGCATTGATTGTGGACTCAAAAAATGAAATCCTTGACAACTTCAGTCTTTTCTCTGTTTATCATGATGTTGCTTACTGGTCCAGTTGTGAGGATTTTTGTTTTCTTTATGTTGAGGTGTAATCCATACTGAAGACTGTGGTCTTGGATCTTCATCAGTAAGCGCTTCAAGTCCTCTTTGCTTTCAGCAAGCAAGGTTGTGTCATCTGCATTATGGCAGGTTGTTAATAAGTCTTCCGCCAACCCTGATGCCGCATTCTTCTTCATATAGTCCAGCTTCTCTGATTATTTGCTCAGCATACAGATTGAATAAGTATGATGAAAAGGATACAACCCTGACGCACACCTTTCCTCATTTTAAACCATGCAGTATCCCCTGGTTCTGTTCAAATGACTGCCTCTTGGTCTATGTACAGGTTCTGAATGAGCACAATTAAGTATTCCGGAATTCCCATTCTTCGCAATGTTATCCATAATTTGTTATGATCCACACAGTCGAATGCCTTTGCATAGTCAATAAAACACAGGTAAAGATTTTTCTGGTATTCTCTGCTTTCAGACAGGATCCATCTGACATCAGCAATAATGTCCCTTGATCCACGTTCTCTTCTGAATCCGGCTTGAATTATCTTCAGGAAACTTTTACTTGTGTGT